CTACCGCCATTGTCACAATATGAAATTTACATCTCATTCATTCTCCACACGCATTCAAAGACACCACCATTATCATCCACCGCAAACAACGTTAAACCCGCACCGACTTTAGAACCTACGGATCCTCTTCTCCCTGATGTACCCAGCTTCGTATCCTCTGATAATCATAATATTCTTGATGATTGTGATATTCAACCGCCACCCTATTCCAAAAAAGACGATAAAAAAGATGATTTACCTGATTTTGATGATTTAGTAAAAAGGCTTGAAGCACTCAAAAGGAAATAACCATAAGTTGGTACATTAGTTTTGGATTTATTAAAGCGAATGATGTATTTATTTTCTTAAATGCTATGTATCATGGAATAGACTTATAGAAATCAAATGTTATATTGAATTAAATTAAGTTTGGACACAATTGTAATTTAATGGAAGCTGAGTGTCATTTTTTAAATGTAAAAGGTCAACCTATATTTTAAGGTTTATAAACTCTAACGAAAGTTTAAATTAACATACAGTAATAATAATAATTGAATATACAGTCTGGGACAAAAAAACCGCCTAAAATTAAAATTTTATTTTATTAATAATTTAATAAATACGTAATTAATTAATTAAGATAAAAAATATTTATTTATTTATTTAAAGATATAAAGAATAAAAATAATAAATAATTTTTTTAAATATATTAAAATAATATTATTAAATTTTAATTAAAAAGAGATAGCAAATTAAAATTTTTAATTTTTCTATCATTTACAAAAAAACGAAAACAATAAATTATTTAAATTATTTCAATATATAAATTAATTAATTATAAATTAATAAAACTTGAAAAAAAATTTTTTCTTTTAGCTTATTATTAAGCTATCTACTTTTTATATTAATTTAATAAACAATAGTTTAATAATAAATAAATAAATATATATATATATATATATTTTTTAAAAGGCAAATTATGCAATAATACATATTTTAATAATAAATATATTTTATTTGGCTATATATATAGTTAAAATTATAAAAGATCTCAAAATTCAAATATGCTTATCTACTTGTATATATATTTTAATAATGCTGAAAACTCTATCAACCTTTTGCTTAAAAATTTATTTATAGCCTTACAAAAAGAATTACAACAATTAATACAACAAATATTCTCAATATTAAGTTTATTAATTAACTTCTAAAATTTAAAAACAATAAAAAACTTTTGTAATTTTAATTTATATTATATATAAAAATAATATAATATAAATTCAAATCCAACTAGTTCAAAAACTTTCACAATCTGAACAATCTTTTTAATTTTTATAGTCCAATACTTAATTTCAAATTAATATTTAAATATTTAAATATTGTTAATTATATTATTAAAATATATATATATATATATATTTAAGGTGAAAATACGATATGTCGCAAGGTTTTTATTATATGACAGATCAATTACATAACAATTATTTATATTACATATATCACTTTATACAACAATGAAGATGCGTCGCTAAGAACTCGTATAAGTTAATACTATATATTCTATGCAGATTATTCCTCACATCCCCACCTTACTCTAGTGTCCAGGAACCTATCGCTTAACAATTTCACTATGTGACATTAGGGATGAAACCTATAGGGTATAGAATGCCTACTACTAGTTTAAACTATCTAACCCATATGGTCCAGTTTTGCTTAAAGGTGTCTTGATTAAGGGAGTTAGTCCAGGTGCCTCCTTACTTTATCGCCTAGACCTCAGATCACACTCTTGCTACCTTTTGACTGGTCTTACATAAGACTTTTGATTCTTCTCACCACCTGCAGCTAATTATTTTTCAAACCAATTAGGTTCTGCACCGGATTGAGATATTCTAGGCTAGGGCTCTAACCACCATTGAAAGGAGCGGATCGGGGTTTGATTAAGATAGAGTACAGCCCAGTCTGTATATTCAAATACAAGGGGAGTTTTGATTAAGGAAGTTGAACACATGCCTCTTGGCTTATCATATTGCTCAACTACCATTGGCATACTTCTGGCAATCATCGTGACACCACTTGGATGATCGTCATGCCACGACACCTTTTTTGGAAATCACAATCCCAACGTCCCACTGGATCAGCGTGCAAATAACTTCCTATGGGAAACAGGGCTTAACAGGTTATGGCCCCAGATACCATTTTTAATTCAGATCAACCATCTTCACCTGGGGTTGAACTGGTATCTTGTGATCTGACCTGTGGAGTGTTAACCACTACACTATGGATCCACAGGTTTAAAATTTATTATTCTATTATTAGATAATAATTTTTTTTAACAAATATATTTAAACTTCACAAAATTTTCAAATTTAAAAAACTTTCTGAATTATTTATCAACTTAAAAAAACTTTTAAAATTAAAGTTTGATCTTATTTTTTTCATAATTCAATATCTTTATAATATTAAAACATAGTTATACCAATATACTTATTTCAATAAAAACTTTTTTATCAATTACTTAATAATCTTAACTTATTAATTTCAATATAATTTTTTTTAACAATTCTTTTTATATAATTAATTCTTTTAATCTTATTGCTTCTTTACTATATTAATTTCTTTTCTTCACTAGTTAAACTTTTATTTATTTATTTTTTTTTTTGTAGGTAAATATAATTTTTTTATTTGATTTGTATATGTTAAGGTATATATCGTGAAAGAAACAACATCTCTCATATGCAAGTACAATGAGTTAAATGCTAGCTTGCCTACAGTAACCATTTGACT